TCTAACCAACTGAGCTATCCAGCCACTTTGAACAGCCGTTGATATCATGAAGACCAAAATGAGAAGAAGATTGGGCAATTAATGAAAGTTAAAAGAGCGGTAGAAAATATCAAATGACAGATAGAATTGATCTAGGTTTCGAATTAGAACGTAGAGAAGCTAGACTGAGCATGGATTTTTGCATAAAGTCAAGCGAAAATCAAAAACTTAGTATCTTCAAAGTCAGTGACTTATTTGGCCGTGCTGACGAAGAAGATCAAAAAGATACAAAGTTTACTCCCTTACCTCCAAAGAAAAGTTTACTCCCTTACCTCCAAAGAAAAGTTTACTCCCTTACCTCCAAAGAAAAGTTTACTCCCTTATCTCCAAAGAAAAGGAAGATAGTTTTAACAAACTCAATCGAAATATCAGCAAAGAATTTTTTAGAAGTTACAGGTTGACCAATGTTTAAAAGACCGATGTGGTCTTGTTTGATTGCTCCTGTCAATAACTTCAAATTTTTGTTCCAATAAACTGGTATCAATAAGAGGATTTAGATAATGCAGCTGCTGTGAGTTATATCGATTAAAAGACACTTTTGGTGTTTCACCGTAGAGTTTGTTATATTATCTTTATTTAATGAAAAATTGTCAAACTTCACCAGAAAAATAATTGCAAAGAAAGTTTTTTCTACCTCAAGATCAAAAGCTTTTTTTATTGGGAAATCGAAATTTCCAACATTAAATTCTTTTCCCTCCTTTTTTTTTTAATTAAGTTACTGTCAGCGGTCTTGACTTCATTTTGTTAGAACTAATAAAAAAATTGTGGACGTTTTTTCAAGATTCAAAAAAAAACAAAAAAAAAACAAAAAAAACTAAAAGTAATAAATAAATGCCGAGAAATAAAAGGCTTATTGGCAATTTCCGCGAGTGCGCGCAAAATGAAGAACAACGTCTATTTACTTTTCAAGTTGTGGAACAACACTGAAAGCAAAACCTTTTTTGAAATCAAAACTAATTAATACTTCATAAATATTTTTTTTTTTTTACATTTAAAAAAATAAAAGCTTTATATTTTTAATACTGCGACTTCCAGACATTACCTCTAGACATTAACCAACTTTGTTTAAAAATTTGGCTAAATTTTCATCTGATAACCTTTAATATATACACCAAGAAACATAACATAAAATAAATTGTTTCTAAGTTATTTCAATTTAAAGTTGAAAATAGTATAAAATAAAAAATACGCTATTTTTACTATACCCCGTTAAGCATGTAACATAACCAGTAATCATTTTCAAAAAAATTGTCGAAAATGAAACACCCTAATGATCAATCATAACATTTAAGAGCAAGTTATATTTAAAATTTTCAACAACCAATAGAATTAAGAAGCAACCACGATTAATCAATAGTTGGTAGATTATAACCTAAAAAATAATCTTACATTATCTTATTACAATGACATGTCAGATAGATACAATTGTATTCCAGTTCGCGAAAAGTGGCGAAACCACCACAGACTGCCTCATATATAGTCATGAAATGCATTTGATTACATCAAGTTCTAAACTTTTCTTTTGATTTCATTATAAACATCTGAAATGTTTATTAAAAATTGTTAAGTTATTTTTTAGTTTTAGATTAGTTTAAAACACGCTCTAGTTTTAAACTAACATTTGTGGTTCTAAAACCTCGGTTAAAATGTTGATTAATGACCTCTGCAACATATGTTATTCAATTATTTTTTACATTTAGGGTTCTCTTTTAGCAAACAAATTTTAGTTTAGAATGGGAGTATCGATCATATGGTGGTTATATGGTAAAAAACTTAGCGATTTTTGTTAAAAAAATCAATTTTCAGTTTATTAGCCAACTTTGTATAAAATTTAACTGGCTTTTCAACCATATATAACATGATATAGTTTTAAAAACAAAAATTGTTAAAAAATTAATTTTATTGATTTTGTTAAGAAATTTACTTAGTTACGTCCATAGCAACCAAATTTGTTATTGATATATTTATCTAAGACCTAAATTTTAAATAGTTGTTTCAATTTTTAAGTCTGTATAATTACTGAACTACTTAAAAAAACAAAGTTGTATATCTAATATTGTTGTTAGTTAAAAGGAGAAAAAGAAGTCAAGGGTAAATTTATTTTTTAAAAAGTATTATTATGGCAAAGCATACAAGTTAAAAAAAAAAGAAAAATTAAACGAGTGTTTCAAGGAAACAGATATATTAAGAAGCCAATTGATGTTGTTTTGGAACAGCCTGCAGAAGGAACAAACAATGATGGAATAGATGTATTGCCATGTGCCAGCTCATCAAAATTAAACATTTCCTTAAATAAAGCCAATTAACCTTTAGCTAAACATGATGATTTTTTCTTCTTTTTTCATTTCCCAATGTTAAAAGATTTAATTAATTACATTGGATTATGTGGTTGTTGTAAATCAAAAGATATTGAACTTGAATACCTTGATAAAAAACAAAAGGATTTTCAATACAATTTTGTATCAAATGTGCATCTTGTGATTGGACTTACTTGTTTAATTCATCACAAGCATTTGGTATGCCTAATAGAGATTCCTGAGGAGTCAAATCTCAAGAAATTAACATCAGAACTGTTATAGCATTCAGAGAAATTGGATAAGGTCATGAGGCAATAAAAAACATTTGCTTCAATTTTGAATATGCCCCCACCAATGACTCTCAAGACATATAATGAAAAAAACTCTTACCTCCTACCATTTTATGAAGCTGCTTCTTGTAATAACATTAAAGATGCTGTAAAAGAGGTTAGGAAAATTGTTTGTCCAACTGCAGCTGAAAATGATATTATAGATATACAAATTGGGATTGATGGCTCTTGGCAAAAACGTGGTCATTCATCACTAAATGGTGTATGCACTGCTGTTGCTAAAGCTAACCGTTAAGTCGTTGATTTTCAGGTGTTTTCAAAGTTTTGTCGTGAATGTGTTTTGTGGAAAAGCAATAAAACTGGTTATAAAAAGTTTTTAAAGACACATGCTTGTGGCCTCAACCATTTCCAATCTTCAGGTGCAATGGAATCATCAGATGCTTTGTTCTTTTTTATGGAATCAATGACAAAGTACAATGTGCGTTATTCTCATTATATAGGAGATGGTGATACCGAATCATATAAGAGTGTTGTGAAGGCAAAGTCTTATGGAGATGATCTTATCCCAGTGAAAATAGAGTGTGTTGGTCATGTCCAAAAACGCTTAGGCACCCGATTGCGTCAAATTCGAAGTGACTTAAAAGGTAAAAAGTTAGATGATGGAAAATTTGTATCAGGGAAAGGAAGGTTGACTGACAAGATTATTAATAAAATGCAAAACTATTATGGAATGAGCATTAGAAAAAATAATTTAGCAGCATGGAGCGGAGACCATAATATAGCCTTGTACAACATGAAAAAATCAGTTTTAGCTGTATTGTGCCATTGTACGGATATAAGCAACAGTGAAGAGAGACATCAATTTTGCCCTCGTACAAATGAAAGCTGGTGCAAGTATTGGCATAGTAATATTACTTTTAAGCCTTCAATTAATCTGCCTATTGCCATTAAAAATTTACTTAAGGATACATTCTTTGCACTACGGTCAGATGATTTATTGTTGAGATGCCTTGATGGTGCAACACAAAATCCAAATGAAGCTTTCAACCAGATAATCTGGAAAGAGTGTCCAAAAATATTTTTGTTACAAAAAAGGTACTACACCTAGGTGTTGCTTCAGCTGTAATAAATTACAATGATGGTTTGAGAGGTTTTACAAGAATTTTTGATTATTTGCATCTCTTCCCTGGAAGTTTTATGATCCAAGGATCGTCGAAGAAAGACATATCGAGGGTAAAGAAAACTAAAAATTCAAATCCTAAGCAAAAAATGGCTAGGAAGAAAAGAAGATGTATCAGAAAAGGTTACATTGATAAGGAGAAAGAAAAAGAAAGAGTTGACTCTTATATTTCAGGAAATTTTTAATTAATATATTGTTTTTAAACTTTGAAGCTCGATTTCTCAATTTCATTTTTTTGTCTGACTGCGAACAGTAAATCATTCATATCTTTTTAACCAGATATGCAATTAACTTCAAATTTTCAGGGTTGTTTCTTTATAGATAGAACTGCAATACCTTACTAGAACTAACCTTAAACTTGTTTCCTTTTGAATATATTTATATTTTACCAAAGGTTTTAGGCATCGATAATATCCTTTAAAATTAAAAGAGCTGCCATTTTAAAAATAATTATTATTTTTAGTTTTTCTAGTAAGGTTTTCTTTACTACACTATAATCTAACAGTGTTGTAAGTTTTAGCTTCTAATGTCATAAAAAAGCTGAGAAAACGTAGCTTTCTTTTTAATTGATTTTTTTGCACTTAATGCTGACTCAGCATAAAAAAGTGTGAAAAACTTTTTATTTTTGCATTTTAAACTAAATTAAGCATTATAAGGTCTTAAAACTAATTTTGGTATGTAGAAAAAGTTAAAAATCAAAAAAATATTTTTTTTTACCATATAACCACCTTAGGGTTCTAATCTTTAGTTTTTGATTTACTTAGAGTTGCTAGCTACTTTTAAATATTTTTAGTTTATAACCTTTTGTTGATATTATATAAAAGTTGCTGCTTTTTAAAAGACAATGCCGATGATAAGCATGATTCTGATTCATGTTGTTTATCAAATCTTGTTGGTATTAAAACTATTTATTTGAATTTTTACAGATTCAAAACTCTTTCTATATTAAAGCGTATGATGGTAATTTTTTACTTTTGATCTTTGATGAAGGTAATAAACAACAACGCCACTTTTAATAAAGAACAAACCAAAGTAAAAAGATTTCCCGAGATTCAATGGGAATATTTTATTTCTGAGGTTCATTAAGTTTATAAGTTATCAAACTTTTTGTTTCTTAAAACAATAATTTTCTGACTTATATACTTGTTCTTCTCAGCCTTTCAAGTGTCACAGAATTTCTTTAATAAATAAAAATTTTCTTTATTAATATATTAATTAAACAAAATATATCTTTACAAATATATATTATAAGTTTTAACTGTTCATTTTTCTTCACATTATGTTGGAAAGTGTTTAGCCTATGGCTGGTTTCCATGCTTTATGAACATTCAAACTTCCATGGCATATAATAGACTAATGTTGATTTCTACTGTTTTTAACTTTAAATAGAATTACAATTCACGTTTTACGTGTGCGAAATCCCTTGCATTGGTATATACACTCCTTTTAAGTTGTTGTTACCTGTATAATAAAAAGTAACTATGGGTAACAAAACGGCACCGTAAAAATGTTTAAATATCTTATAAGTGAATTGCAAAAATTAATATTATTTAAAATTTAATATAATTTACATCAGTAAAATTTCAAGAAAACTAACTGAAAATGGTATTGTAAAATAAAAAAAAAAAACTTAAAAATTATATCGAACCAAAGTCTTAAAAATGCAAAGAAATATTGAATCCATTAATAAAATATACATATGTTATTTGTATAGTCTTAAAGGAAACCAGCTCTTACACAAAACCATTACTTGTCTCAAATCCTTCCGCTATTTTGCCGTGTAAGTCAGGTCTTAATTGTCTTAACTTTCGTAAAACATCTCCGTACAAAACCATATTACTTTTTTTCATGAATTCTAAGTACTCGATTTCTCTCAAAGTAATATAACAAGTTATTGACTTTTTTGATCGTTTTATACCACCTATGCATCTGACACACCATAGTTGGTAGGCATGACCAGTTACATTTCGAGCTAAGCCAATTGCTGAAATGAAAATTCCAGCAACAAAGAAAAACCATAGCAAAATGAGTACATACTGGTTTAAGATATTTGTTGAATATTCACAAATAAATTTGTTAGCGTTTTGTTTTTCAACAGTGGTTTCTTTATAAGCTTCAAAAATCTCACAAAACCCCATTGAAGGAAGCAAAACCTCACCTAAATTGAAAATAATAAAAATAATAAATTAAAAAAATAATTGTAAATAATTGAATAAGGAACTGCATGAAATGTAAATTTGTTTATGTTTACTAATAAAATAATTGACCTGGTTTAGGAGTTAGTCTATCGTTAACAAATTCATGAGCTTTACTTGAATTTAACTTTGACCACTTTATGTACTCAAAACCGTACGACAAATAATTTCCCAATAACAAATAATCAGTGAAATAAAACCCAAACAAGTTGCAGACCAAGTAAAACAATTTTACTCCAACGTTTAAAAAAACTCGAAGTCGAAGCCGAAAAACTGAGTTGATATTATAATTAAAGTAGTTTTTAACCAATGCGTCGACGTCACCTGATGATGAATCAACGGCTTTTTTTAAACTAATAATATCAGTGTTGACTATTGAGTAAAATATGTAAGGCATGTAGTACAGCAAAGAGATTGTACCAATATAAAAAGGAAGCCACTGATACTGAAGATAAAATATTTTGGTCATTGGTATACATTCATGATCTCTCCCATAAATATCTCTTACAAAACATAACTTTTCATCCTCAGTTAAACCTTCGTGGGTAATTTTTTGAGGGATCCCGTAGTAGCTGCTCATGCTTAATTTGTTCTTCATTTCTTCGTAAATATAAAAACCTGAAATCCAACAGGCCGAATGCACAAAATCTGGAGAGAGGTTGCTTCCTGGTGGAATAATACATGAAATTTTGTCTGAAAAGTAATTGAACCCTGTAAGGAAGCTCGCTATAAGAAGCACCCTTGTCATGAATAGCCGACTAAATTGGTCACATGCATCGTCGTGGCGAGTTTTTAGTTTTATCTTCAAAATGTCTTTAAGTGCACGCACAACAACCATTTTATATGGCTTCTTTTAACGCTTTTTTTTTACGATTAATTTTGAGTTATTGACTGTTTTATTGTGCATAGATTATACCTTATAAGCAATAACAAAAAGAATCTAAAGATAAATTTGTATTATAATGAAAAAATAAAATAAAATCAATCAAATCAAAAAAAAATCAAAAAAAAAAAAAAAACTAATTCCAAAATTTAAATTTAATATTTATCTTTATTAAATTTAGTAAATTTAAATATCTATATAAATAAATTTAAATGTGAAAGTATTTCATAAAAATAAGTATATCTAAATATTTAATTCTTTCAAAGTTATTCCAAGAACCCGTCCAAATATGTTGATAAACCAATTAAGGGAACTAAATTTATGTTTTCACTGTTTTACCCATTGTCATCAATTATGTAAATTACAGAATAAAAAGAACCATTTCAGTATGATCAAATAACAGATGTTATGGTTTAATCATAAAGGTTTTCGCAAAGTCGTTTTAAAGAAAACAACATTAGTAGAAATAATTTAATATTTAATTTAGAATTTCCGATATTCAAGTCTTATATATGGCGGATTTACGTGTTAGGATATGGTTCGGAATGATCGGCAAACTAATATAATTATCTCAATACATATTTTCAAACGCTAAATTTAATATAAAAGTTTGAACACCTCCGTCTTCACTGCTTTACAATAGATTGCGAGTAGCAAAAAGTTTGACAGTGGAATTAAAGAAATTTTTTAAAATTTAAGAGTAAGTGTAAATGAAAAGAGGAGATAGTTATACTCCAATCATATCCAAACTCATCTCCTCTTTTCACACACATTTACATTTTGAGGGGGAGGGAAGGCGAGAAGTTATGGTTACACCCCGATATATATATATATATATATATATATATATATATATATATATATATATATATATATATATATATATATATATATATATATATATATATATATATATATATATATATATTTAATTTATGGAACTCCAAAATTTTAGAATTCAAAATTACAGGGAAATTTTTGTAAATGCGCCCTCCCACATGTGACAATATGTTTAAAGGTTACATTAATTATCGTATTTTGAAAATTTAATTACTTAGTTGAAAGCTATGTTAAAAAGTTATACAGAAATGACTCACTAACAAAAGTCTTTACTATAAGTCTCAAAAACAAAACTATTTTAATTAACATTATATTTTTTGAATTATTTATTAATAAACATATGTTATAAAAAATTAATTAAAAAAATTTGTCGCACAACCGATTACGCAAATAGAGTAACAAATACAAAAGGTCTTTGCATTTGTTAAAATTTAAACATTTTAAAATAATAACCAAAACTGAACAATTGCCCCATCCCTATTATTTCTGAACACATTAGTTTTAAGATTTAAAATATTTGATTTCAAATATTTTCTGATGGACAACACCTTAAACAATCATTGGACTGACTTTTTTGGGTTGTTACAACCGGTATAAGTTTGTACCGTTAAATTTAGATTAACAAATGTTTTTAGTGAATGTAAACAACAATATGTTAAATAGAAACAAAATTTACTTTAAAACAAAATTTATTAGAGATGGTGGGATGATCAGAACTTAGCTGAAAGGATGATCTCTGAAAGATCAATTGTATGGTTTTTATAAATTTACAATAATTAATTACGTTTAAAATGAACAGTTTTATAACTTTTTTATTATAATTTACAATATTTACTATTTTATTAATACTATTTTTGTTATTATTAGCAGGAGTGTAGAGTCGTAAAAAAAAAGTACTTACTCCGACTCCAATCGTTGAAACTTTCAGTGTACGACTCCGAATACGACTCCGACTCCAACTCCAAAGCAAAAATTTTGAAAAATTTTTTAAATACTTTAAAAAGTATTACGCGATAAATAAAAATTTTTTTTTTGCCTAATATATGAAAAATTCTTTGAAGGTTAAATATTTTGTACTTGCACGTGCAATACCGAGAAGTTTTACAATTGGAGTCGGAGCCGCGATTTTGTTTAGCGACTCCGAGTACGACTCTGACCGCACAATCCTGATTATTAGTATTTACTAATAACTATATCAACTAGAGCCTATAATAGCTAGTAATGAGTAATTTATATATATATATATATATATATATATATATATATATATATATATATATATATATATATATATATATATATATATATATATATATATATATATATATATTTATACATATATATATATATATATATATATATATATATATATATATATATATATATATATATATATATATATATATATATATATATATATATATATATATATATATATATATATATATATATATATATATATATATATATTAGGGCCCTGCAAATCGGCAGTTTTTGTTTGGAATCGAATCTCGAATCAAAGCAGGGTTTGATTCTTGATTCGAATCACGTTTCAAATCGACATTTTGAAGTCTAAATTTAAGCATTTTTTATTTAATAATACATATTTCAAAATAAAAAAAAATTAAAAAATTGTATAATCTCTTTATTGACGCTTCTTGCCCTGCTTAACCTTTTTAATGAATGATTAAAAAGGTATTTAAGGATAATTAACGTTACTTTGATAGCGCCAAAGCGCAGAATATCTAAAATACTCACAACAAAAACAAAATAAGTAAGGATTCAATTTTTGTAAATTTTCGAATCGGATCTCGAACCATTATTTGATTCGATTCGATTCAAAATTCCGAAGCTTCGCAAGGCCCTAATATATACACACCTACTAGAAACACACCCAAAAAAAAAGGTCCTCAATATTTTACATTTGCCAATTATACTTCAAAACTTGCCAACTGATATGGTACATGTATAAACGTGCTAACTCAAACGCATATATAACAACTTTGAGGGGAGGGGGATGGGTGGGGTACACCCCCCGTTTGGTCGGGACGGCCCTCTATATATATATATATATATATATATATATATATATATATATATATATATATATATATATATATATATATATATATATATATATATTTATAAAAAGTGCACTTTTAATACAAAAAAAAAAAAAAAAAGCAAAGAAAAATTAAATATTAATAATAAAAAAACTCAACACTTGTCATAAAAACAAATAGAAAACGTATCATTAAAAAGTATAAATTCAAAAATCTTTCTACGTCAACTACGTCAACTTTCTACGTCGACGTCAACAACATCAACCAATCAAACCATTTAGCCACCTAAAAAAAAAATTGATTATACCAATCTTTTGAAAAAACCTTGATCATGTCAACCTTTTAAAAACCTTTATCGAAAATACTATTTCACTTTTTCACAATCCATATCTCTTTTATTATTATTTTTAATTAATTAATTTTCTTATTTGTATATTTTATGGTTTATTTTATTATACCAAACTTTTTATATTCAAAGATTTTTTTTATTTAGCAAAAGAACAAGATCAGAAGATACTGTTGACTTATTTAAAGATAATGTTGGCTAAGCCAATTAATATAATGTTGTTGGTTTATCCGTAGGTTCTGCTGACTTGGAAATGGAATGTAATCTGAACTCAAGGCTAATATTTTTTCCTGTTTCTTACAACTAACCAAAGTTATCTGTCATACTAAAGTAGCCAATTTATCCATTATGCTAAAGTTTAAAAAACCTTTTCACTAATAAACTAGTTGCTATTTTCAGATTCCAACCGTTTTATTCAACGTGTAGTTGACCTCGACTACAATTCAGACAGAATTGTTAGTTGGTTAACGGTGTGTAAAAACCTTAATCAATTGTATTGCTCTCTTAAAAATCCTATAAAACGTTATAGATTATGAAAGTCTTATAAAAGCCATTAAAAAACTTTTATTAACCATACCTTTTAAAAAACTGCATTTGTACTGAACTCAAAATTACTATTTTTTCAGTTATCTTAATCATTATTACCATTATTTCAATAATCAGTGACCTAAAAAAAGCGTCTTTTGAACGTTTAAAAAGAGTCCAAAACATTCAAAAGACGCTCAAAAGACGTCCACAACGTTCCATATCAACTGGGATATTTGCTATTCTCACTAATACATTAAAAAAATCTTATCTCAGGTATATCCGTAAATTCATCTTAAGAAAAAACTATGAACTTGTCTAAACCAAAAATTAAAAAGTGAAAGTGGTTTAGAAGGTTTAATATAAAAAGCGGAAACTTAAACGGAAAACACTAAACATATATATATATATATACATATATATATATATATATATATATATATATATATATATATATATATATATATATATATATATATATATATATATATATATATATATATATATATGTATATATATATATATATATATATATATATATGTATATATATGTATATATATATATATATATATATATATATATATATATATATATATATATATATATATATATACATATATATATATATATGTAATAAATAAGTGTAATATATATATATATATATATATATATATATATATATATATATATATATATATATATATATATATATATATATATATATATATATATATATATATATATATGTAATAAATAAGTGTAAATAAACTTACCAAATATATTTTACATGGTTTTTAAAAACACTCACTTTTCTTAATAATCGTTTAATTATAAATAAATGAATTTTTTTTGAATTAGCAAGAAATAGAAAAATTTCAGCAAGAAATAGAAAAAATTTATTGTCATTTTATAAGTTTAATGATTTGTTTTGTTTTTTTATTTCTTTGCAGAGTAAATAATTAATTCATCATTATAATGAATTCTTCGTTTTCATTGTTTTTTTCCTTAAATTGTTCTTTTCTATTAACTTCTGCATGACATAGAATTTTTTTCGGAAAAAGTAAGACGCGTAATAATGTATTTTTATTTTAAAAAAGTATATATTTTTAATTGATTTATTGGCTTTACTTTTATAAACTATGGGATGTCTTGATTTTGTTTAACTCTGAGAATTTCACCTGTTTGTCTCTGTTTGTCTGTGTTTTGTATTTATTTACATGCATTTGTGCATTTATTTTGATGCACATAAAATGTTGTGTCCTCGCTGGGCAAATATATCAAGTTTCATATTGTTAGCGTATTAAATAAAATTAAAATAAAATTTTATTTTTAATCAAAAATATTGAATTTATTGATAATAAACCAGTATAAACTGGTCAGTAGGATCACAACACCAAACTCAAGATTTTAAATTTTTTTAAAGGAGTTTTTTTTTGTGTTTTTGAGTGAGTGTTTGGTTACGCAATTGTGAAAATTATTATTTTTATGAATAGTTAATCTTTTTCAATGATCTAGGTATATTGAAATTCCTAAAAACCTTCATATTTTTGAATATCTTACAAAACAACATTTTAAAAACAATCCATATAAATTAATTCTGAGAAAATATTTTTTATGGTTTCATTAACAACTTTCTGCAATAAGATAAAGAAATAAAGATATTTGAAAAGTCGATGAAATTTATGTTATTTGCGACCTTTCCATGCGCTATCGAATCAAACTGACTATCTATAATATTTTTTAGAAGTTTTGATTCATAAAACATGTTCAGCGTTCGCTTCACTGACTAAATGCAACTTTAGAATAGTTAATATATCAGGAAAAATGGTATTAAAAGGAGAATTAGAAAACTTGGAGACATTAAGAAAATTTCAAAACTTTCCTTTTAAAAAATACATCTTAAATAACAATTATAAAATCATTAAAGTGATTTATAAAGAAATCACAATTAATAAAGAAATAATTTATTGGCTTGTTTTTTTTTTTTTTAAAATCCATATTTTTTAAAGAAGATTTTATAAAATTGTAAACATAAATAAAAGCTTTTATATTATCGATGACATTAACAAAATTAATATCGCTAATGTCATTTTAACCATGTTAATCTCTCTTTAATTGTTTATAAAATTCAAGATTTATTACACTGTCAATTACACTGACCAATAAAATATGATAACATTTTTTTTACAGAAATAATATCATTTATACTTTGTTAGTTTTAGAGTGCCCAATTTGAATTTAGCATTTGTTTTAACGTTTAAAAGCTATTTTTTCTTTTTTATGATGCACTTATATATTTTATTGATTACACTTCTATTCAGGTTCTAAAAGCACGTGTTATGTAAAGTGTGATATTATCAGTCTTACCTGTAATATTTCAAAAAAGGTTTAACACAATGGATCTTCTGTGAGAGGATTTTAAATGACGCATTAAAATCTAGCAGTAGTCAGAACTGTTCGCTCATAAAGCAAACCTAAAATTACACACTACCGCATTTGTGGCATTAAATGAATAAAAAAATCTTAGTTGGTAAATAAGAGTTCAAAGGTTGTTATAAACCTTCACCTTCATTACTTGCTGACTTCTGCTGGACTTGCTGACTACTGCTGGATTTGCTGACTAGGGCCCTAGTAGTGCCGTGCTTAACTTGTTTCTCCACGCAGTGACCTTTTTTGTCAAAGTTTTTTTTCGGAGTCAAAGAGTTAAGAAAAGCTTGTTACAAAAATAAAATAATAATAATAATAAAAAGGAACCTTCTTAACTTTAGTGACCCTATCGGCCTTAGAGATAAAAAACAGAAAAAGCAAACAAACAATAATGGGTAAAAAATCCGAAAATATTTTTCGTCGAAGTTTTTTGGAATTCTATTGGAGTTTCTTACTCGGGAACCATTTTACTTATTTTGTAATATGGGTAAATAAAGACCATCAAAAATAATAAACAAAAAAAAACAAATTTTATATTTAATTATAAAGACAAAAGTAGAGAGCGACGTTTATCAAATATCAATGTACGAATGTGACGTTTATCAAATATCAATGTACAAATATTCGTTAAAGAATATTTGGCTAAATTATTCGCTAAAGAATATTCGAAAAAACTAATCGTTTAAATTATTCGCAGGATACGAATATATTCGTAAACCTATATTCTATATTTTTTAATAAATAATAACTGTTTAACAAATATATCCTTTTTTTTTTTTTTTTTTTTAATATATATTTTGCTGTTAATTTTGCTGTTTTTGCATATAATAATCAAATAATAAAATTACAAAGAAAATTTTACGTTAAACAAAGTGTATATATATAAACAGACAGGGGCTCAAAGAAGATCTGGATGACTGGTGTCACCACAATCTTTTCATAGAGCCCCTTTAACAATAATATTTAAAGCCAAATATCTTTAAAAAGTTTACAACAAGATATATTACGTAAAAAACATAAATTAAAAACTCCGTTACAAATATAAGCGATAAAAAATTTCAGCCAAATGAAGATTAAAAATAAACACGCAGGAGCATGTCAAATACATATAGTTAATATATATAAGATAAATAAGTAAATAAAAATATATACATGTGTTTCAGAGATTTAGGAGATGCAATTTTATTTGTCGTTTAAAAGAGAAAGTGCTTTTCAGGTTTTTTAAACTGTTATTTTCTAATTGATTCCATAATGACGGGCCTTGGATTATAATTGAAAATTTTGACAGTTGTGATTATACTCTACTCAAGTGATAGTTATAATTAGTATTTGACCGGAAATTGTATTTTTGGGAAACAGCCGATGTAAAAATATTAGAAAATACTTTTGGCAGCAGGTTATTCTTATATTTATACATAAAAATTAATATTTGAAGGGAATTAAGTTTTGATATATTTAGTACACTAATGTATTTCATTATAGGGGAAGGATTTTCTAATCTGTTTAAATAGTTAATTGCCCTACATGCATGGTTTTGTATACTCTGTAATCTTATTAATTTAGTTTTGTGTGTGTTTGCCCAAAAAATATTAGCGTAGGAGAGATGACAATGAACAAGACTGAACAAATAAACGGGAACTTGCCGAACAAATAAACAGGAACAAATATATTAGTTTACTTTTATTCGCTAAACAAATAAATATTTGTTCAACGAATATTGTTTGTTTGTAGAATATAGTTTGTTAAGCGAGTTTTATTTTTTAAATTAATATTATGTCTAATGTGTACAAAATGGAACTTGTTGCGAAAGCTAAAAGCAACTTCAGGTCTTATTAATCGTCTAAAAGGGCAGCACTGCCAAGTTTTTTTGGAATATGAGAAACTTTGTTATGCCCAAAAGATTGTGAAAAAGCCTCGAGTTATTGATGATAATGACTCTTCAGAAACCAATTTTATCAGTACAAGCAAACGAGCTTGTCTTTTTGCCACTCCTAAGTCGTACCCCCATTTTTAACATCATCTGATAAATCGAGAACTGCTAAAGCATCTAAAACTTCTTGTGTTGTTACTCCATGGCCAAAAGACCATACTGAAAATGTAAATATAGTTACATCATTGACTAAGTTGATTGTCCACTTTCAATTGCCTTTTAGGATAGTGGAAAGTAAATATTTTTATGAAATAATGAAGCAAACTACGATGGGGAAGTAAAACCCTGTTTTATCAAAATCACTTTCTCAGTACACAATTCCTAACTTAAAAAAATTCATCAGTGATCATGTAAACAAAATTATTGACAATCAGAAGATTGACATTGATAGTTTTGTTTTTACTACCGATATATAGACTTCTTGTAATAATCTTGCTTTCCAATCTCTCACTCTTCATTTTATTACAAAACGTTTTCAGCTTAAGCAACTTCTTGTTAAACTTAATCCATTTCCTGATGCACATATTGCAGAAAATATCGAGGAAAAACTTGATTACTTAACAAAACGCTCGAATTTGGAAAAAAAAAACATATACATGGCAACAAATGGTTAAGGTTCAAATGTTACGAAAGCTATGCGCATCAGCAAAGTTATCAACAACATTCTTTGGTACGCTGATCATTAGATACATTTAATTGTCACACAAGCTCTAGCTAGTGTTCCTGAGTGGTTAGATTAGATTAGATTAGGTTAGATTAGTTAGGCACTTCAGTCATATTTCGAGTATTAAGTTTTAGTCAAGGCAACGAATATTTCAAGGAAAATTGCTATTGAGCATAAGCAATCACGAACTAGAATAATCCAGAAGGTACCAACTCGTTGGAATTCTGAACAGAGGCGGTTATTCATTATAGATCTAAAAGGGGGCTTAGCTATTATGGCAGAAACGTCAGCTTAAATTGAAGGTTGGATGCCCACTGTTGAACAAGCTAATATCATTAAACTACATTTTCCTGATTGTGGTCATAAAGTACCTGAGTATTCAATGGCACATTTTCTTGATCCAAGACAAGAGTAATCGATTATTTTTTGAACTTGATGAGAAAAGTTAAAAAATAAATGAAAAGATATGCGCCGAGGAGATGTGGGCGAAAGTCCTACATGCATTGAAAACTTTAACTAAAGATCCAAAAATGATTATTCATTCAATGAAGAAGTTTCAACTGGTGCTGCAAAGAAGCTACCCAGCCAGGACAACTCAGAAAAAAGTTACGCTTGGTTTCTGTTACGTGTTTAAAACCTTCTAAAACAAAAAGAATCACACGTGTCAAAAATGGTTTGTGAAAAATGTGAAACCACTGACAAATGAATGTGAAACCACTGTTACAAAAGTAAGCGAAATTGAAGTTTGACTTTAAAACCTCAAAAATGGATCGTGAAACACGTGTCAATACCGAAAAAAAAAACTAGATTTGCCGGTTGGGTATATGACCAAAATAAAAATAAAAAAATTGAGAAAAATTCTTCCTTAACTTATGCCATATGCGAGAAGCACATTATGTTGATGAAAGAATTGCAAACGACAACGCAGATATCATCGAATGTTGGAAGACAAACCGTACGAATGAGGGGGAACGAATATATTTGTTTAACGAATATTCGCAAAACATTTATATGTTGAACAATATTATTCAATCAGTAATCGTTCAACGAATAAAGTGAAAAAGAGCAAATATTTGTAACAGTTTAACAAATAATCTTTAAAAATCTCGTTTATCGAAAAATCGTCGCGCTTTAGACAAAAAATGTCACAAAAACATACTTTTATTCAAAAATGAAAATCAATGAATCAATTCATAGTTTGTAATTTACACTTTTTAAGAGTTTAGTTTCGTACATTTATAAACTTTGTAGAGTCCCAAAATAGATTGCGCACTTGAGCAATGAGTTCCAGATTCACAAGGACAACGACTATGATAGCGTTTTAACACATCCTAAAAAGCATAACTAGTATAGAAACACATTTAAATATATATATATATATATATATATATATATATATATATATATATATATATATATATATATATATATATATATATATATTTATATATATATTATTTATAAAATAAATTGGTCTATTCTAAAAACTGCGCCTGCCTATTATAGCATTTCTGAAAAAACTATATTTACAAGAAAAACTTGTTACTCATTTGGAAAAAGCAAATTTACTAAACAAAAAATCTGAATTAATTTCTAAACGCAGACACGAAAATACAGACATGAAAAGTAACTTTAAAAAAATTATAAAATCAAATGACCTAACTATAATTATCCTAATTTTAAAGAATTTTTTTTATAATTAATTTTTTTAACTTTGATGTAGTTGATGCAACTTTCTAGTTGCAAAATAACTACAGTTATTATATAATTAATTATAACCCCAAACGGTACATCTAGTTTCTTTTTCGGAAATAAAACCTGTGTAGACACGTGTTTATCTAGATCCAGGCATAAACTAAAAATACAAGTTTATTACGGGCAGTTAATAGTTTTACTCGAGTTTAACACAGTTTTTTTGAAGTTTTGAAGTCAAATTTAAATGTCGCATGCTTTTATCAGTGGTTTTGCTTTCCTTACGAAATTTTTTCTGATGTAACACGATATTTCCGTATCAGTGAAACCATTAACATTTTAACTGGTAATAGTAATAGTTAATTTCACGGAAAAAAAACCAAGCGTAGCTTTTTTTCTGAGTTTTGCCGGAATTGTTTAATTCCCGATTTCATGTGAAATATTTTTTTTATAATTTGAATTTTTTGATGTTTAGACATTCTTCCTAAAGAACCCACTGATGGAGAAACAAGTTGTTAAAGAAAATAAAAACAGATTAGTGTTTTTACTAATTAACGCCTAATTTATATATTTAATTTATATATATATATATATATATATATATATATATATATATATATATATATATATATATATATATATATATATATATATATATATATATATATATATATATATATATATGTATATATATATATATACATATATTTGTATATATATATATATATATATATATATATATATATATATATATATATATATATATATATATATATATATATATATATATATATATATATATATATATATATATATATATATATATATATATATATATATATATATATATATATATATATATATATATATACATAAGTGAAATACTTTTTTTCATGTGAAATATTTTTTTTATAATTTGAATTTTTTGATGTTTAGACATTCTTCCTAAAGAACCCACTGATGGAGAAACAAGTTGTTAAAGAAAATAAAAATAGATTAGTGTTTTTACTGATTGATGCTTAATTTATATATCTAATTTATATATATATATATATATATATATATATATATATATATATATATATATATATATATATATATATATATATATATATATATATATATATATATATATATATATATATATATATATACATATATTTGTATATATATATAAATATATATATATATATATATATATATATATATATATATATATATATATATATATATATATATATATACAAATACATGTATATATATATATATATATATATATATATATATATATATGTATATATATATATATATATATATATATATATATATATATATATATATATATATACATAAGTTATTATAATTTATTATAATAAGTTATATAGTACTATTATTATTTAAACACATTTTTTCAAATTTGCTTCGAAACTCGATAAAACTTCAAAAATAAACAACTTCTGGTTCATCACTTTTTACTTTATTGCTTTTGTAGTTATTTATTTTTTGTTATCGACTTGTCTTCACTTTTAGTTACTGTGGTTCAATATTGTTTTATTTAAAATATAAAGTTTGTACCCAGCACAGCTCAGAAAAAATGTTCGCTTGGTTTCTGTTGCGTGTTTAAAACCTTCTAAAAGAAATAGTTAATTTTACGGAATGGAAACCCTTACAAAAATGGTTTCCATTCCGTGAAACTAACTTTTACTATTTGCAAAAAAACACCAGTAAATATTAACAGTATCACCGTCACGAAAACGTAGTGTTACATAATATTAGTTTTTAGTTTACGCCTGAATCGTGACAAACACGTGTCTATATATTTTATAATTCCAAAAATGAATTTAGATGTGCCGGCTGGGTATAGACTTTAAACAACATTATCAGGGTTATTTTTTAATATTGATGAAACTGATGTGCAACTAATTAACAACCCTAGTCAAGTAATTGCAGAAAAAGGATTTGAATCGGTCGTGTTGGTAACATCTGTTAAGAAAAACCACCCCCATCAATTAATTCTTTTAACATATTTTTTACTAATTTTTGTGGTCTGCGAACTCTCGCAAAAATCACCAAACTTGCTTGCTCTCAGTGAGACTAATCTAAATTCTGTTATTTCTTCTTCCGATCTAAATGTTGATGGGTAATATGCTTTGATTTACAAAGACTCCAATTGTCGCATGCTTGGCTTATGGATATACATAAGCATCAATTTCCCTTGTGGTGAGTGGGGTATTGGCGAACACCTAAGCGGAAATTCAAAGTAAAGACACCAGTTACACAAAATTTATCATATTTATTGCTTATCAATTAGTTTAACTATTCAGTCACAAACCCTCTAAAGCAATTTTTATAAATCTTATTATAAAATAAAAATTTAAGGCAAAAATAAAACCAAAGGTGTTCCGAATTACCGTACATAGGTGGGATAATTCCGAACAAACCGGGGGGCAATCACAAATACTATTGTGTAATAACGAATAAAATGTTAATTGTAATAGTTAAGTGAAAAATTATACTATGCAGCAACAACAAAAAGGAGTGGGTTTATATCCATAGAAGCTACTACATGTTACTCAAGAAAAAAGTTGCATAACATTATCAGAAAAAGTTAAGATCAAATTAAAGTTAAGATCAAATTATAACAACAATCGCAGCTTCATTACACTACTGCACGTCTGGAACTGAGCATGGGATCCCCTCTCAGCAGGTAAAAAGAAATTGTAAATTTTTTTTTTCTATAATGCTGTTTTGACCATGTTCAGAGTTACCCCGCGTTTGCCATTGGCCCACTCTTCCCTATTTGTTTTGATATCAGTTCGAATTCTTTGACCATTCTTTTTATGTGCTTCCACTTAGCATCTCTTCTCTCTATCACCTTTCTCTTTGTTCTTTATCATTCTCCTTTTTAACAAGACTGCCCTCTTTTAGATATAATTTCTAATCAAATTGACAATGCTCTCTCTCTCTTTACCCCTCTGCCAATATTGTTGCTATTGGTGACTTTAATGTTCATCACACTGAATGGCTTGACTATAACGCCACTTATCCTGCTGGTACTAAAGCCTATAACTTCTGTATCTCTTTAAATCTTTTATCTTGTACTTCATTTTCAGACTCACCCTATGATTGCACTACTTACCACTACCCTAAAGCTGATAGGGACTCTTTTCGTGATTTTATTTGTGACGGTCCTTGGGCTGATGTTTTTTCCCTCAACTAAAAAATGCGCCTCCTACGTAACTTTCTGGATTCAGACAGGAATGAATGCTTTTATTCCTTCTCGTCGGCTCCAAGTCAAGCCTCATTCTACTCCATGGTTTTCACCCTTGTGAAAGCTGTGCAGCTGTCTTGTGCAGCTGCTATATTTAATCGTAATCATTTTTTTCATCTTTTTCAAAAGAAAAACTCTCTTGAGAGCAAACAGCTATTTATTATAGCAAGAAATTTAAGTGAAAAGGTGCTGTCAGATGTTAAGCTCCATTATTCTCAGTTCACTAAATCTCGCATCTTATCTCAGAACTTAGGCTCTAGAGACTTTTGGAAAATCTTCAACAGCGTTGTTAAAACATAGGAAGGTCTAACATTCAATCTCTTATCCATGGACTGATCTTATTACCTCTCCCAAGGATAAGGCTGAAATATTTGCATAAACTCTTTTAATTCGACTCTCGAATCAATTGACCATTCTCTTTCTTCCACTCCAATTAAACAGGCTAACCCATTTTTAGACATTCAAATCACTGCAGGATTTGTTGCTAAATTCATATCTTGATTAAACTCTACTACAGCTTGTGGTCGAGACAATATTCCTGTCACAGTCTTACAAAATTGTTCTCCAGAACTCTCTTCAATTTTCTCTAAAATATTTAATAAGCGCTTGACTGAGTCTTGTTTTCCTGTCTCAAAAACTCTGGTAAACATTCTGACCCCTCTAATTATCTTCCAATCAGTCTTCTTTCTGTTATTAGCAAGGTCTTTTAGTCTTTGATAAACAAATTTCTCACATCCCATCTTGAGTTAAATAACTTGCTGTCAGACAGTCAATATGATTTTCGATTCTCTCGCTCTACGGCTAACTTGCTAACTGCTGTGACTAAAAAAATTTATTGTACATTAGATGGAGGCGGAGAGCAATTGTTCTTGACATATCTAAAACATTCAACATTTGTTAGACATGTTAATCTTTTCCATAAGCTTGTTTCATATGGTGTAATTGAGTAAGTTTTTGAGATTATCAAATCGTTTCTTTCTAACCGCTTTATTAAAGTCATCCTCAAAGGCAAACACTTTCTTTATTTTCGGTAACTTCTGGGGTAACTCAAGTTTCTATCCATGGTCCTATTTTGTTTCTTATCTACATTGATGATCCTCTCGACAACCTTACATCTAAAGTAGTTCTTTTTGCTGATGACTGATGAAAAAAAGTCTTCTTTTTACGATTGCTTAGAAGAGGCAGCCGATCTAGAATCTAATCCCACTTCTGTAACTGATTCGGTTTCCTGTGGCTAGCAAATATTATCTTTAACAAAGCTCAGTTATTTACTGCAAATAACTATCGCAGTACTGTTGACATTCCCGAATTGATGAATGGCAACCCTCTTGCTGAGTCTTCTTTTTTACGTCTTCTTGAATTACCATTTATTATTTCACGGAAACCATATATACAATCAATTGTATATATGGTTTCCGAAATTAGCATTTGCTAAGGTTTACATTACCATTTACTCTCTCCCATTAAATTAAAAATAAGAGATTTGTAATGGAATCTCTGATTCCATTACAAATCTCTTATTTGTCCCTGTATGGAATACTGTAGTCATTTTTGGGCTTGTTCTTCTAATGGTGCTCTTTTTCTTTTAAACAAGGTCCAAAAAGGCATTGTAAACGTAGTTGGACCTGGTCTGTCTACCAAGCTTGAACTTCTTACCCATCGTTGTAAAGTTACATCTCTTTCTCTTCTACAAATACTATCATAGTTGGGCCTCAAAAGAAGTGAAGTTTTATAAATAACAACCTTTTTTAAATGTAACCTTCTTAAGAAAAACATTGATATAAAACGTCCTTTTTTGTTTAAAAATGTTAGTTTTTTAAAATAAATTTGAAAAAAAATAATTTTTAAAAACTTACT